TATATTTCCCCCACTCCATGGACAACTAAGATGCGATTTGCCATGCACATTCCCCATCATCCGTCAACAAGATCATTTGCTCAAAACTGAAGATTTTTATCTACTTTTCAAACATGAGTGATCCTTGCGGTCATCCGTACACGTTCATGTATGTACCATACCACGACGCCTTCGACGTAATGTTTATCTGTAAACCTTGTGAACGACGTTATTTCAAGATGACAATATATAATTGAATTTATAATTGTAACTGTGCATCAAAATCACCATAAAGGGCTCTGCTCATAACTCTCAAATGCATACACACATATTCATTTTTCGATAGGACCAAGGAATGAGGCAACGTGGATTCACTCGCTTTTATGCATACGTGCAGCTAAAATCCAATATAATGTATGTAATTTATTTAAATTTCTGCAGACTTGCAAAGCAGAGACAGTTCATCATTGTTCCATAGCATTCAATCAATCAGTTTGTTGGTGTCATCAAAATCAATCGGTTTGTTTAAAGGTCCAATGATCCGTTTTCGGCTCGTACGGCGAATGTGAAATAATCATTAGCTGGTCGGTGTACTAAGCCTTCTCATTCAGAATTCGTCTTTTAACTGGAACTTCTTCGATATATTCGGAATATGGCAGATATGTCATTGACGTCACTACGTCAATAATTGACTCTTCCCATCCCACCAGGAAATGACGTGGTCATTATTCGTGGCTTGAACAGAATGAATAGGCCACGGCCTCACCGACTAGGGAAATAATTTTGGGGCAGAATTTGTGTGACATATTGGGCTACTTGCCAATGCGCGTGTATCCTTCGTGATAGATGGCAAGCATTTGTATGAGTGCGAAAGATATAGTTAGGTTCTTTTCACAAAACCAATTAGTGCTCTTGGAGAGGGGGGTTTATGTGCGCCCCTGGGCTTATTTTGCCAAATCAGTGCATTTTGTTGGCACCTGTGGGTAACGAGGAATTTCTAACTCAGTTCTTTTACTGTCATGACTGTGTATTTCTTGCGCACAAATGTGAGAAAGTCCACGCCATCGTTACTGAATAGTTTGATTTCGTGTGCTGACGACCATCAAGTTCAATCTAAATATCGATTCTGGAAGGACAAGAGGAATTCAACTTTAGAATTTCCATATATCACTTCTATTTCTTAGTCCTATGCGGTAATAAAGACCGGGTAATTCTGACATCAGCGAAGTGCGTCGTAGTAGGTACTTAGGTGCCCAATCAA